CATGGCTTTTGTCTTTCACGACACTTGACTGAATCACAAACAACTCTTCTAACTTTAGGAATTCTATGATCAATTCCAAGACAGATGGCATTTTATTTCAAATGAGTTGTTTGTCTGTCATATCACTGGCAACCCATCTGTATGAATTATAGGGCTGAAACGAAGCAGAGTTCTGTCCACTGATGGGCAGACATCTTCCCTCCTGAGGGCCCACACAGCTCCTGAGAATTGTTTTATATGGCAGAAAAGTATATGGTTATCTGCCCATGCCAAATTCTGGCCTCACACACAAATCTGGTGCCATGTGCCTCCTCAATCATAACGATGTCTATGCTGCATCAAACCGAAATTTTTAAGAGATGTTTTAGTTAGGCATTCAAATTTAAGCTAATGTTTGCAACAGTAGTGTACAGTAACATTGATGTAAATTACTAAAGTGACAAAGAGACAGTGAGATCCCTCTACACAGGTTGGAGCCACCAAGAGGAGCAATAATAACCACATTATGACTCACTTGTCTGTATTGGGGGGCCAAGGGGCTCATGATGTCAATAGTATGGTGGGCGCAGGGTTTAAAGTCTCAGCACTATCAAGCTATCACCAGCCACTGCAGCATGAGTTCAATCCTTGGCCAGGGAACTAACCCACATGGCACAGCAGACCTCTCCTGTCTCACCTGCTGCTCCCCTTAGCAGTGTATTTCAGTAGATCCACCTGTTCTACTCCCCACTCTCTCTCTGGTGAATCTCTCACCCCCTGCACCTCTGGCCTACCCCAATTCTTGAATGCATAAATAAATAAAAATAAATCTTAAAAAAAAAAAGGAATTGAGGAAATAGTGCCAGGGACAAGGCTAGTGAAGATAACTTTTTTGACTATTTCTGAAAGCAGCTTGGTTATTTATATATGTACACAAACATACAGACCTACACACATACATACATATTAAAAGCCATATTATCAGCATCTAATAAGATAAGAATGGTTAAGTTATGGTATACTGAGTAAATAAGATATCCTGCAGTTATTAAAAATGGTAATTAGATATATAATGACATATGGCTGTACAGAAGGGTGCTTGATAAGGGGGAAAAAAGCAGGGTATCTGATTTAATGCATTCCTTGATTTAAACAACACAAATAGTAGTACTACATTTGGTTACTTCACATTGGTGCATTTAGGAATGAATTAAGAATTATGTATTGGAGGGAAAAATGACATATTTGAGAAAGAAAAAGGAAGGAAAAAGGAAGGGACAGGATATGGAATCTCTATTGAAATTCAATGAATTCACACAAAAATAAAATCTGCTGAAGAAATTTGCTAAAAAATTATTAAAAAGTATTTTATTTTTTTTTTTATAGAGGCATGTTTTTATTTATTTATTATTTATTTGTTTGTTTGTTTCGTTTATACATGCACTGGGTACAGTCAGAAGCACGGGAGGGTGAGAGAATTCACCAGAGCCAGAGCGGGGAGCAGAGCAGGCAGAAGGACCGAAGCACACTGCTGAGGGGAGCAGCGGGCGGCAGGAGAGGTCTGCTCGCCATGTGGGACCCTCCTCCGGTGGCCGGGGAGCAGCCGGGGATCGAACCGGCGCCGCAGAGGCCGCGGGCAGCTTCGCAACCCAGCGCTCAACCGCTGCGCCACCGGGGAGGCCCTAAAAAGTATTTTAAAGGGAGTGTTAAATGTACTTAAGAAACACCCACTGATATCCAAGGACAGATATTCTATGTATAAAATATCTGTGTAGAATTCTATGTGCAGAATATCATTCTTACTGAGTCATTAGAGGAAGCCAAAGGGATTTCAAATTGCAGCAAGTGGTAAACCTAATTCAAATTGTTTTCTTCATTATTTTAACATCATTATGACAGAATTTCTTTATGAAGGTTAAGTATTCTTAACAATTATTCTGAAGGACTGATGTCTTCTATCATATTCCTAGAAGTGCTCAATTTTAATTCTGAGTCTTAATTTAGTAAACTATTATCTGATCTCAGGGTAATTATTTCTAAATTTGCACATCTCAAACCAGTCACCACACTCTAAACATCTGCAATCTAGACCTCATTATTTGGGGATTCAATACTGAAGGGCCCATGGCTGGGAATGTTTATTAAAATCACTCACTGAGTAAAACAAGGGTAATTTTAGATGAGAAAACAAAAACACCTTTCTAAGCACTTTCCATTATACTTATATTCAAGTGATATACTAATTATAAGAAATCTTATCAGTAAAAATCTATACTGTTAATTTGAAATTTCTGACAAGGGTTTCTTTTCATCAAATCCCATAATTTCTGATTAATTTTAATAGGCTTGAGTAGAATAGTTTCTTTTTATATCCTTCACAATAGCAGCTCTCACACTTTTTGATCTCAGGACCCCTTTCAACTTTTAAAATTTATGGAGAACCTCAAAGTGCTTTTTATTTCTCTGGGTCTTACTTATCTAAATGTTCTGTATTAGAAATTGAAGATATCTATTACCCCATTTATAAATAATAACAAGGTCATTACCTGTTAACATACATCTTTTTTTAAAACTTAAGACACACCCATATTTTCAAAGCCAAAAAAAAAAAAAAATTCAGTGAGTAGTGCTGTTTTACATTTTGCAAATCTACTTAATGTGTGGCTTAATGGGAAATACCTAGATTCTCATACCTGTCTCAACATTCAATTTATGATGATATATTGGTTAAAGCAGATGAAGAAAATCCAGTCTTGCATAAACATGTAACAGGAAAAGGAAAGAGTACTTTTTATAGGCTCTTTAGCTAAGTGTGGTCACTTTTCTTTCATACACCACCCAAAGTTGATTAAGTGGTAGTTCCTTAGAGGTTACTGTATGGAATCTGAACCTTCCATCAATGAACTTTTCATTCTCTGCTACATTAAAATCTATTGGCTATTTTGCACAAAATCAAAAAAATCATGAGATCACATGTAGATCTCGTCTGAACAGTCTTTTAAGCACTGGGAAGCTGTGACATTCACCAGAGTGGATACAATTTTCCAAAATTCTTATTTTTATTTGAAAGTTTAAATTGTACTTGGGCAACAAAGATTGTCAGTTGTTTTCTTTGATTCAGGCTCACTGGATTTATTTTCAACCAGTACTTTAGGTTCAAGATGTGATAAAATTCACAAAGGGTGCTCTTGGTGTAAGTGGTGGGTCTTTTAATTTTTAAACTGAGGTCAGCAGTTGTGCCTCATCACTTCTGAACTCAACATCAGTGAGCAGATCAGAAGAGCGCAAAAGGCAGACAATGTTCCTGAGTCAGAGTGAAAAACAGTCTGACTTTGTCAACCCACTGAAAGGATACTGAGGAACAATGCAGGGGTTCCTGGAAAGATACACCTGCAAAATCCTTGTGTCACCACACAGTAAGTGATACCCAGTCACCATTTAGAACACTAGTTGGCAGTCACTGAGTTAATGCTTTGTCAGGCTGTTCACATGCATTACTGATCCCCCAGACATTAATACAAGTAGGAGGCTACTTCCATAATCATATTCAAAACAGAAGCATGAAAAATGAAAAAAAAGTAAATAGAAAGAAACCAAAATCATATGCAAATTTCCTCCCAGTGAATTTGAAATATGAATTTTTCCTTCATTCATCCATTTGTTTCCCTAATTGTTGGGTTTTTTAAGGAAGGCACTTATTTGCTTAGTTTTAGAAATATGGAGAGCAGGGTTGACAGACCCCAAGGCCAGGACGCACCGGGCACGATGCAGTTGGGAACCAGAGCACAGGCATTAAGTCCAACTGATCTGATGTCAGGCCCCAGGTCCCCAACCTCTGGGGCCTGTCCTGTCTATCTCTCAGTGTCTGTTTCTTAGTTGGACTTGAAGCAAATTCCACTTAACACCACGAGGACTGGATGAAATGCATGTGAAGCATTAGTGCAGCTCCCAGCCCACAGCGGGTATTCAGTAAATGGAGCCACTTCTATGAATAAGGTCCCCTGGAGGCAGTCAGAGTCCAGAGAGGAGTGGAGCACATATCCAAATAATTATAACACAGCACGGGAACTGATTAACTGCAAAATGCGACGGGAGTAAGAGGAAAATCAATGGGCCATTTCGGTGAGGAAGGGACTGTAATAAAGGCACCACCGTCTCAAAAGAAGGAGAAGCTGGCATGTTGGGAGAAGAGGAAAGGGGAAAAAAGCACATCTAGACACACACAAAGCTGGGCACAGGGTGGAAAGCATGAACACCTGGGAATCTGCATCATTTAGGGTCTCTGATACCTTGCTAAGGAACACAGACATCTGAAGCAATTTTTTTTTTTAATTCTTGGACAGAATGAGAAATTATAAATCCTCAGTGTGAGCAGCGCATGAGTTCTCCTACGCTCCCCTAACACCCCAACACACACACATTAGCTATATGGCCACTTTAAAGCCTGACCCCTTAGCAGTCCCCTGACTCCAGCCCGACTGGCAGAGAAGGAATAGCAAAGCTCCCCCAGGAGGCCTTGGGGCATCAGCAAGCCCGGGCAGCTGGGGTGGGGGTGGTGTGGGGTGTTCCTTGTTGTTTTAGAGCGTAAGTGTGGCAAACAGAGAGCAAAGACATTTGCATTCTCCCTGTCACTTATAAAATTTGAAGATGTCACTTCATCTTCATCCCAGCCCTATCTATCTTTGCCATATATCTGGTGTGATGTGCCAGTGGAATTCAGAGGTCGCTGTGCTCAATGGAGTGAGAAGAGACAAAGAGGGATGAGTGCCGTGCATTTTCCATTGTGAAGGCAGCATCTGTGAAGCCTCTTGTCACTGCATGAGTGAGCCGGGAGGCCCAGAGAGGCTGCAGGCCAGCATGGGGACCCCCCACAGGTGAGTCTGTGGTCCCCTGGCGATCCAGTGGGTGCGCATGAGGGTGCAGCCGGCTGAGTGCCCGGTTGGCTGTGGTGCTGCGTGCTCACGTACAGGACGCGACCATTCGGACAAAACCCATCAAAATCACAGCAACGTCTTACTCACCCAGAATTTTACGAGGAAGAAGGCATTTTGAGGACCCTTTCCAAACAGTTCCTTTAAGCCACCTTTCTTTTCAGGAAATTTGTCATAAATCTGACGAATGTCCACTGATTCGAGCAATGGGTCACTGTAAGAATGGTTGGCATGCCCAATGTGCACGAAGAGGTGTTTGTTGTACTGTAAGAAACCAACAAAAACAGTCCCATTACAAACCCCTTGATCAACCTGGGAATCGACCGTCCTGAACTGGACAAGGGGCAGTAGTCTCGAAACTCCAGAAACAGGCCTTCAACACTTTGAAAAATTGAAGATGTTCAGAAAAACAGGCATAGTTTAGGGTTAAAACAATCATATCTTTTATTAACAAGGGCATGTATTTTCCCAAGTGCTTAAAAAAGGCTTTTTGTAGACACAGTAGTAAACAACTGTTTAAATTACTCAAAGCAAAAAACAATTGTCTCAATCAGTTTTACCTGACTTAACGGAACATGACCGCAGTACACTTTGGAGCCCATCATGTACAGCGGAACCAGCCCAATCAGAAGTTTGTGTGTGGTGAGTTAATGTCATCACCACCCAGGAAGCACTTGCCTTCCACTGACTTGTTCCAGCAGGTCTAAGAGTGCTGAGTCTTGATCTCACCAGTCCCCTAAGCTACCAATCTAAAATTTCTTCATCAGGGCTGGTCAGCCTGTGGCTGTCAGTGCAAAGTTGGGGTAAAGACCATGGAGAGGCGTCCAGGGACAGGCACATCTTAGAGATAGTGCAGATCTGGTTCCAAGACTACCACAACAAAGTAAATATTGCAATAAAGTGAGTCACACAATTTTTTTTTCTAGCACATATAAAGGTTACATTTATACTATCCTGCAGTCTACTAAGTGTGCAATAGCATTATGTCTTAAAAACACCAAAATAAACACATACTTTAATTAAAAAAAATTTCATTGCTAAAAAAATGCTAATCATCATCTGATTTGTTGGAAAAATGACAGTGTTAGATTTACGAACCTTCCATTTGTAAAAAGTGTGATTTCTGCCAAACATAATAAAATGAGGTATGCCTGCACAAGGCTACAAGGGGCTGATACAAAAAAAAAAAAAAGGAAGATAGGTCTCTCATTCACATAAAGAGCTCCATCTGTCCATCCATCAACTCCTGTTGCTTGCAGTTAAGCTCCCAGTCCTATCAGGCCCTGGGAGGTACTGTTTCTGTGCCACCAGACAGGGAGTTTATAGGAAAGTACAAAACATTAGCAGAGCCTTGGGTACACCTGTGGACTGAATGAGCCTGTCTGCTGAGTACCCCTTTCTGGACTCTTCCAACTCCAGTGGGCTGAAGGTTCAGGGCTGAGTTGGGGTGTGACTTGAACTCTTTCTGCTCCTAACATCAAAAGGCTCCTACACCGTGCTATTGGAACTCAGGGATCACAGTGGAAGGAAATGGAGGGTAAGACTTATCATACTGCAATGGGGGAGGGCCTTGGATATACAGCTGAAAAGCAAGGTGTTGCGTGCAAAGCATGGAAGGTCTGCATTCAGACCTGACCTGACTTCTCAATTTTCTCATGTCTAATGGGGACATAAAACAGGTAATACAGAACATGGCTGAAGATTAAAGGAAGTAATGCACAGAGGTGCTTGATTCAGGGCCCAGCATTGAAGAAAAGTTTGATAAATCATAGTTGTGAAGATTATTATTGTTATGGCTTATTATTGTTTGAGGTAAACTAATCCTGGGGTACAAGGAAAAGAACTTTCTGGCTTTAGCTATCTCTCCTGCCTAGCAAAGAAAACATAAACAAAAGTAAGGCAAGTGCTGGGAACAAGTGGTGAAGTCGTGTGACTGCTCAAATCCTTGATCACGTTTCACTCCAAATAAACTTCTTGGGGTACAGACTCTCACCTGTGCCTCAAGGGGAGAAGAACCTGTATCCATTCAGTACAGGTGCAATGTGTTTCCCACATATTTGACCTCAGGTAGTCCCTGCCTCATAGCAATCATTTTATAGGTGAGGAAATAGAAGTTTAGAGATGAATAGACTTGCCGGAGGTCACACTTCAAGGAATAGTCCTTGGGGTTAAGAATAAAACTTGGATCTGTCCATACCACAGTCCATGCATTTGCTGCAAAGAGTAACCACACTGTCCTCCAGAAGAAAATACCGAGACCCTTCTAACACCCATGAACTTTTTTTTTTTTTTTTAAAGATTCATTCACTTATTTATACAAGCACTGGGTACAGTCAGAAGCGCGGGAGGGTGAGAGAATTCACCAGAGCCAGAGTGGGGAACAGAACAGGTGGACTGATGAACTACACTGCTGAGGGGAGCAGTGGACACGGCAGGAGAGGTCTGTTGCACCATGTGGGACCCTCACCAGCGTCCGGGGATAGAACCGGCGCTGCAGAGACTGTGGGCAGCTTTGCAGCCCAGCATTCAACCGTTGCGCCACCAGGGGAGGCCCTGAACTTTTTCTTAAAGTTGATTTGAAAGCTCAATACCATTTTCAAAATTCTAAAAAACTAGAACTCGGGACAAACGTAATGATTCACAGATGTGTCAGAGAGAGTCTTCAAAGGTGTCTATTTTGAGGATGTTACCTTTGTGCCCAAGTGACTGAAATGGACTGAGAAGGGGCAGGTTGTCTTTGCCAAAGGAAATTGGGTACTGCTCCAAAGCTGGTGACCTGAAACCGAAGTCTGGTTGCTGGCATCTGAGCGCCTCCACTCCTGCCAAGAGGTGACTTTGTTTCTAAGTATACAAAGGGCCAGCGAAGGCGTCCTGGAGACCACAGAGTCGAGACAAACCTCCCTCTCCCCTTCATTCAACTTGGGGAGTCAGGAAACCCTCTGCCCCAAATCCAGGAGAATGAAAAACAGAAGTCTACCTGATATGTTTGGGTTCAAGTTTTAATGAAATTAAAACTCTTGAAAACCATTTGGTTTTCTTCCTATCCTGCCAGTTCTCCTGAAAAGGGAAAAGGGCCCGGGTAGATAATTACTTCCCTTCCTCCTACCAGATAAATCCTTTCTTTCCAGCAAAGGTGGTTCCCCAAAACTGAAGGTGAAACACAAAACCAAAAAAGGGCAATTCTTCTCTATAGGTCGCAAAACAAATATTTGCAAAAGAGTAATCACTAAAAATTCCAAGTATTTGGGGAATATAGAAAAGAAACAGGGTGAGTCCTAATGAACCATGTACACCAAAGCCTAAGACTAAATTACCACACTATTGAAACCACATTAACATTGGTTTGTTCAATTACAAAAAGCCAAGCCAGCACTCAGTAGATATGCTGATTATTAACTTATCGGTAATGACCTCAGGGAAGGGTGTCTGCCTCATAGATAAAATCCTGCATATTTCTTTTGTGGATTTCAGTGGAACAAGGCAGTGCACCTAGAGTTTATTATCTGACAGACCCTGGGCTAGGCACAGGGATGCCATAAACCAATAGTCTAGGAGATTCTAATAGAGAAGACAGGGATTAAGGACAGTTGTTATCACGTCTCCTGTATATCCCATGACTTCAATCATCATTTGTCTGCTCATTTTATATGGATGACCTTATTCTTCGACAATTAACATCCAGTGTTATTCATTAGCATGGAGAATATATAAGGAATTCACCTTAAAAATGTGAATCAAGTTCACAGATCTAAGGGGAAAACCCAGGTCTCTCTCCCAGGTGAAAGTAGAACACACTCAGTTATAAGGTTCCAGAAAACTGAGCTTCCCTGCAACTCATCTCAGGTAGCTATAGGTGGATACCTTCTTACAAAAATGAGGAAATATATTAAAAAAGAGGGAGATGGGGCCCTGGCCTGGAAGAGAATTGGGCCACTGACCTGGACAACTGCCAGACCAGAGAAGATGAGGAGCAGAAGGGCTCCTGGAGGGGTGTCACCCAGGGGACAGTGGACCTGAGGGTTCCCTGATTGATGTGTCCATCTGCAGAAGAGCAGGAGAGTTCTGTTAGAAAGCCTGAGGTGCTTGTGCAGGTATACAAAAAGTAAACAAGGGAAAAAAAGATGCTATGACAGAGTCTAGAAAAAGCCAATGTTTTACAATCAAGAAACTCTTTCTAATATAAACTGTATTAATCATGCCATACGAGAAATGTCCACAGGTCTGTAACATAAATAATAAATATTAGCTGAAACAAATATTGTGCTATAAACACCTGGGGAGTGGGTGGGAGGGCAGGCTGGCAGGAAACGGGGCACATGAGCTAAATTTAGAGAGCGAAGTCCTGATCTTCCATAGTCAGAAGTCAATAGATAATGCTGTAAAAGTGATGGACAGAGAAAGAGAGGAAAAGCCTGTTATTTAGAAATAAGCAAGTAATATACGAAGAAATGGATGAGAGGGCTGTAAGCAGCTGTCACTAAAAAGTGGGACTGGGAGGTAGGGAGACATGGGACTCCCCACATGGCTCAGTTTGGCTTATAAATGAAGCAAATGTTTTTATTAAATTAAATAAACAGCCGATCAAAAACTATACTGAAACATCATGGAGTTTTTTTGAAGGAGGAAAAGAACCATAAAGGGAAACCAAAATATTAAGAGTGTGCTTCACAGTGTTTATTATTCCAGTTGGCCACAAGTTCCCTGGGCTCAAAAGGAACTTCAGTCAGATCACAGAGCTTTCCTTTTGCTCCAATACTCAGGACAACTGAGCGTCAGAAGCTAGGATCCTTATCTGCCTGCAGGGCTCACCAAAAAGACATGCTGCACCAGCAGAATCCCAGCTGGCTCAAGTCTATCCCGCAGCTCACAGCGCCTGACAGCACGTAACACACAGACTTCTGTTCTGATTTGGGAAAATGCTCGCTTTCTCCTTTTATTGTTATAATCCCTCAGTTATTCTTCAGCGCAGTTACAAAAGATTATAAAGGTAAATTTAATCCTAAAAATACCCTCAAAAATGTTACTTGTGAAGGGTTATTTAGCTACCCTGGGGGGTTAACAAGGTACTTTCCTCCTGTCCCAACATTATTCTAAGAAGTCACTTTCTCCCTAGTCCTTGGCTGTCCTTCTCTCTTGGCGACTTAGGAGGCTGCAGAGAGGAGGGAGGAGCACAGGGACTCTGGAGTCAGACGGGGTCTGGGTCTGAATCCTGGCCCTGGCGCCACGTCCTAGCTGAGTCATCTGGGACAGACCATTCCAGCCAC